GGATGTCGTAAGAGTCAGTGTGACTCTGCATGTCAGCGCGACTTGGGGCCTGAGAACAGACGTTAACTCAGAAAATGGGAACTATCGACACCCTCCGTGGGCTGGGTGCAAGTAATAAATCCTCAGGCAAGGAGAGCATCACAACAAAGGAAGACATTTGCTGGATACAGTAACAATTATTCCTTTACTGGTTTTGGACTATGAAGATACATAAACAGTCAACATGTTAACTTTTACGTATCTGGAAGCAATTTTTTTAAAAAAATACAAACACTGTGATTTAATAACTTTAGCCATTAAACGGACCTCAGAGCTCCAGAACTCCGCAAACCATAAGTTTGACTTGTTTGTCCTTCAGTTTGGCCCCAAGCATCATTCTGTCAGCTCTTTCCTTCGTCATCGAAGAGGGGCAGGCTCGCCTTCCTGTTCTGTTTCTCTCTTCCTTTATTTTGTCTGCTTGTCTGCCTGCCTGCCTTCCTTCTCTCCTGTTTTCCTTCCTTCCTTCTTCCCTCCCTCCCTCCCTCCTTTCCCTGGCTCTGTCTCCTATTGTACAAAAGCCGCATTTGGCATTTTGCTCAGTCAATTTGGCCAGTGCATTTCTGACAGCATATTAAGGGATGGCAGTTGGAACCATTTATAAATTGGGTTAATTTGCCTCTTGGCACCCGGTGGCAGGCAGAGAACAGGACAGCAGCACTTATTCTGCCTTGACTGTAAATCTCAGATCTTCATGTAATGCTAGTTTCCCATGAACTTACACAGCTGAGGCCCTGGGACTGATCTGCCAAAGATACATTCTGATAAGTGTTTCATTGGCTTCCCCACCGCACCTCTCCTCCCTCGCTCCGTCCCTCTCTCAAGTGGTGCTGCAGCTCGCCTGTGGATGCTTGTCAGGCAGGACAGCCCCTCAGCCCCAGTGCTGCCGCTCCTTACCCACCAACCCTGGAGGGTGGGCTACCGGTGTGCGTGGGAACAAGAAACGGAAAGATGACCGGGACCCCGGGCCTCTGCTCACGAATCCTTACTTTGTCAGCACAGAAGTTCCCAGGCAAAGCACACAGGTAGAAGCCGAACAAAGTTATAAGCTGAATTTGGCCCAACCCCTGCATGCCATGTGCCAGGGAACTTTTTCGTCTGTTGCAGAACCCAGATCTAAGGTGCTGCTTTTCTTTTCCTGCCTCTAGACTAGCGGTTCCTTAGTTGTTCTTTAGAGAAAGTTTTCATGCCTTTTAAACAAAAATTCTCAGGCCCCACTTCTAAGCTTCACATACTCAATTTCTTGAAAGCGTGGGAGAAAGTTTATGTATCAGATGCCTTCAGGTGACTGATGCAAGTAGTTATTTAGAAACCGTGAGACTTGCGGACTTGGCTCTCAGAGGGCCTGAGACCCTAACTCAATGGGAAGAGGGAGTAGAATGAATTCCAGGGGATCCCTAAGAACAGCAGAGCTGGAAGGCTGGTGCACCGGGAGACGACAGGGGCCCCTGAGGTGCTCCAGCCACAGGAAAGCTGGGAGTGGAGGGGTCCGAGGGGACAGCATGCCCGGGGCCGGTCTCCAGCAGGAACAGCCCTGGTTCGCCTTCCAAGACCAGGTCTTCAGGGGCTCTGCTGACTCCTCCCTGCAGAGCGGCTCTCTTTATACTGCACAGGGCTTTTAGGGAGCCCAGGAACCGTGGGAATGCAGAGCTGAGGAGCACCGAGGGTCACTGTCCAGGACCGTGCTTCCGTCGTGTGTGTGGACATGGCATAGCGACACGGGGTGACATCAGGTGATGTCCTGTCCCGTATGGGTGCAAAGGCTGTATGAGGAAGGAGAGGGTGGGGGAGTGGGTAGAAATGGCCCGCAGGATTTCCTGTTCCTGAGCATTGGTGCCTTTCCTATCATAAAGAGGGGAAGAGGGAGAGGATGGTGGAACTTCATCTGTCCAGTACAATCGCCACCAGTTAGAAAATTAGCTTTTTCTCTTAAATGACCTGAGTATGCATTCAGCTATGACCCTCATTCAACATAGTTTAGGGAAACAGAGGGACACCTCACGTATGTTTTTAAGATCTTCACACAGGATGGTAGCGTGGAAAAAGTAAAGTCAGTTGACTACTGCTTTGCAGAAACAAAAATAACGGCACAGTCAGAAAAACCCTGGGTACATCTCTGAATGTCTTCTCTAGTCAAGAACCAAATCATGATTGACAGCGTCCAGCTCCATCAGCAAAGTGCAATTAGGTGGCTACAGTTTTCCTTCCCTCTGAGAATATGAAGGGGATTTAAAGTACTCTTAACAGCAGAATATTTTCTCCTCCTAAGCTAATCTGGATATTTTTGAGGAATTATAAATAGTTCAGGTATTAAGAGAGTGGAAGTCAATTATGTTGTGTTTTTGTTTGTTTGTTTGTTTGTTTTTTTTGGTTCCGGGGGTCATACTTGGGACCTGGCACTTGGAGGTGGTGGAACCACTGAGCCAAATCCCAAGGTGGAATTCTTTGTTCAGATAAGAATTTTGTAAAGCCAATTATGACTATATTTTGCTTTTAACTAAAATTTGCAATTTATATATTAATATTTTCCAGGCTTAATTGTATGGCGACCATGCAATGGTTCTCCGTTTGAAGGACTGTTATAAAATTTGCCATTGAAGCTGATTATCTTTAGAACAAACAGTTGTTACTTACGTGGGTAAATTTAAAATGAGCAGAGGTGATGTGCTTGTGGGAAGCTCATGGAGGTGGTGAATGAGTGACAGCAGTCTGAGAATCATCTTGCACTGTAACTGGATCTCAGGTCCTTGTTTTGGGGCGACAAAGACTGAAGGCAATAAATGAGCCAAGGGCAAGAGGTGGGGAATGGCCAAGTGTGAGTTTATTAGAAAGAATAAGAGAAGCGCTCTGCTCGTCGTAGGAGATGAGTGTTCCATGAAGTGGACACCAGACATGGTGTCCAGACATAGCTCCATTAGCTTTTTATATGGCTTTTGACACTGAAGTGACAGAAAGCAGGACACTCATTATTGCAGGTAGGCCTGGGATGTCCGGAAAGCCAGCTGCTTCATTTGGATCCCACTTCCTTCAGCCATTCTCCCATTTTGGCAGTGATCTGTTCTTTGTCTCTTGCATTTCCTTAGGCCCCGAGGGTCCATTTTGGTATGCCAGCTCACTCGGGCCCTGACTTTTAGTTTTTCTATTCCAGACCTGAACCCTATCTGCCAAGCACTTCCTGTGTCCTGGCTTTATTGCAGTCTTGTGGTTCTCTGTGGAGGAGGAAGGTAACTCTCACCTCCTAAACCCGTGGTGGTTTCTAAAATATAGATGTTTATAGTGCCTCAGCATCAGTGGAGACTACAGCGCTATTCAAGGAATTAAAATCTTGGGGTAAAGATAATCAGGCAAACAAAGCAGGGGATCTTAAGATAAAACCATCCAAATAAATAAATGGACTTTTCTTCATCACATTTAGCCATAATAGGTCCTATGCTTTTAATTCCTTGAGTGCTGGGGGATCATCCCTCCCTCCTGTCAGCATAACCTGTCTCCAGAGTGTTACTGTGTGTCTTCTCTGCATCCTAATTGATGTGGGGTTGCAAGCTCCAGACACACTGGTGCTATTGCCCAGGAAATCCTATCACCTGGAGAGAAGCAGTTATGAGGGGGGAAAAGATGTAAGAAATAACACAAGCCTTTAAGTAGTCTTTGTTGAATAGATAGGCTCAGAGGGAATTTATCAGCACCCTTAAGCTCCCAGCTCTGCCCCTACTTCACCACTGTTAAATCATTATGGCCAACTCTATTCACTTCCATCTCAAGAGCCATAAGTCTGATGGCCCACATGTTCTTCTTCATCTCTGCAAAGATAAAGGAAGGTAGTGACAGGAGAAACCCCAGTCGGCCTGAGTGTGAGTCCCAACCCCATCTAAAATTGACCATTTATCCTTGGGCCAAATATGATCTTTCTTAATCCCAGAATCCCCTTCTGTGAACAAAGGGTAACAGTATTTTGCTAATTGGCTGAGTATTGCATAACATATGTAAAGGGCTTAGCACAGAGCCTGGCACCCGTTAAACACTAATGTACTCAGTTGTGATAAAATTTTATTACCAAAAGATACAAAGATACTTTTTTCTCCACCATCTGTTCCATTTTATATTTTAACCATAATTTATTTTCTCAGTAGCAATAACACACATAAAATTCTACTAAATATATTTTAGAGATATGCATATGACTGAGACAGACAGATCACAAGAGTCAGGGGATTCTCTAATTTTTTAAATACTACACTGTGGAAAATTTCTTTAAAGGTGTGAGGCAGGTTTTTTCCCCCCATTTTTAATACTATTTTTATTCTTGTGTTTCTTATTTGGATCAACAGCAAAGTAATAATTTATACTAGTAACCAAACTCCTCTCTCAAACCAGATATGAGAAAAAAATATACGTGAGCATATTGTGTGTTCAGATTAACTGGGTTTACTGTTGCTTAGTTTTTATCCTCCATGGGTCTGATGATTAAAAATTTGAAAAACATGAGAATTACTTTTAATTTGTTTAGGTTTTTTTCCTACTTTATTTCCTCTTTCCTATTCCATCTCATCTTTCCCTTCCCCTGTTTTTGCAACAAAGTTTTTAGCAAAATGCCTTTCAAATAGAAAACCCTATTATGGTATTTTATTTTAGATGATTTCCAGAAATGCTTATATGCCTATTACAGTAGAACAAAATAAGTATATCCTCAAAATGGTAAACATATCTGTTCCATCTAAGAGTTTAAGAGTTTCCAGTTTCCTCCTACATAAAGTGGAAAAATCATTATTGAATATTTTTTTTCTCTTCTCAATGAAGTTACTTTGCAATTCTTGACTAAGAGTTATACAGATAATTACCTGTAAAATAACTGACTTCCCACTAAGTTGTTCAAGAATTCAACAAGTTTCAAAGGTAAAGAAACAGAATACTTTATTATAAAACTTATAAAATAATTAAATATTACCCATATATTTTGACTTTCTCTATAATTCATGGTTTTATTCAACATTTTTCCTCAGAGTTAATCACTTGCTCAGAGAAGCAAGTGAGAACACATAATAGGCTATTAATAAATTACTTTTCCATAAAATAATAAAATGGTAATTACATAGACACAAATAACTTGCCATTTTTCAGAGGGCAAGGATGATGTGATTGGTGGGAAACCATTTTTTCCTCATGATAAAATGGCTGCCATTCAAGGCCAAGCCAAGTAGGCTGAGAAAAGCTCCTAATCATTATTTTTGTGAGATTCAAGAACTTGTGGTTTTAATTACCATGGGGACAAAGGATGCTGCTAAATTTAACAAACCACTGTCTGGATGGTTATGGTGAGATGGCTCGTCTTTGTCTGAATTGGAACATTTTGAAGCAGTAAAACTGGGTTACATTCATCAAAGAAGTTGAGGAATAGAGTAGCATTATACAGATGCGCCCTTTAATAACCACTGCTAAAAAACTTACAGGACAGTCTTGTAAACTACTTTGGTTTTGGCAAAACAGGGTGGTGGTTTTCCAATTGTGGACAATTTTTAGCTCATTAATACCTATCAACGGCTGGCTTCTGATGACTGAAAATATCATTTGAAACATTGCAAAATAAAGGGGCTTGGCATATTGCGATTTATTAATAGCCGTTTTTTCCGCTGTTAACTAAACCTTAGGGAAAATTTAAACATGTTGGTTGGTAGGAAAAAGCCACAAACAGACTTTGATTTCTCAGAACGATGGTAATATGTATGGGCCATTGTAAATGATGGGCTTCTTTCCTTCAAATGGTTATTTTGCCATCTAGTTGCTCCTATATTTTTTACCAGAAACAAACAAATCACCGATTCTCATCACCAAAGAGCAGGCACCAGGCTGCCCTGCAAGCACCAAGAGTGATGAGGTTGATACCATGTGAAGGACATCAGGACTTGTCTCCTACCACATTCCCCCTACCCAGTGTGAATTTCTATTCCACGGTGATCTTCAATAGTTCGTGTTGTTCTCTCTTCACCATATTCCTTGGAACACTTTTCAAGTTGCTAATTTTAGTCTTGGAGACTCTCTATAAGCAGAATATATTTTAATCAATGAAACACACACCCACACACACACTAAATAAACATAACATGAAGCTTGCCAGTCCAGCAGCAAGCACAATTGTGAGCACCATTTGTCCTTTGATGTAACTCCTGGTTTGGGTGTTCACAGTTTAAGTCAAACTGTAAACTCCAAGCAACAGCCAGGTGTTCATCTTTGATTGGTGTTTCATTCATATTTGATTGGACCTGAAGTCTTAAAGAACCTTAAAAAAAAAACAAAACACAGATGTCTTTGCCACTGAATCCTTTGAAGTTCAAGGAGAGGGAGAGGGGCCTGTCTGAAATTTGATGAGACTCAACTTGTCAAATTACAAACTGACATATCTCAGTGTGGTGCATCACTTCTTCTGTGTAACAGTGCAAATCCAAGTTTGCTCTTTGTTTCTGTAAGTCAGATTTGTCATCGCTTCTCATGTTCACGTGCTTCAGAGTACCTCGTGCTCCGGGGATTGACTGGGGAGACCAGCATCAGCCAGGAGCTCCTTGAACCCTCAGCAGCTCACGGAGTGTCCCAGTGCTCAGCCTAGGATGGAAGGGGTCTGGTCTCTCTGGAGGCTGAAACATAGACTACTGGGGTGGCCCCCAGATCAGCTCTTCCTTGTGCAGGACTTGCAGCACTGTTTCCCATAAAACTTGTGATTGCAGATACCATGCTGAGGAACCAGGGGGCACCAGCTGAAGAAATCTACACAGGATGGGTCCTCTAAGGAGAAAATACATGTAGCATGTTAGCCAGGGCTCTCCATCTTTGTCTTAAGATAAAGGTCTATGGAACAAAACTTTGGGCCACTGTGTGTTGGAGGGAGTATGTCAAAGGGGCAGACTGTGACCATCAGCAAAATCTCAGCAGTGGAAAAATTAGATGTTAAAAAAGGTCACCTCCAGTAAGAGATGAATGCTTCATTCTCCCACGTAGCCTGCAAGCCACCACAGGCGTGAGTGGCAGAGGGAAGCCCCCTGGAACAGCATGTTAGGGATCCCTTGGAGAGTTTGTTAAATCACTGGTTCCGATCGAGGTCTAGAGTGGGGTCTAGAGCAGCAGTTGTGAAAATCACCTGAGGATGCTGTAGGTCAATCGTGAAATTAGAAACCAGCTGCACAAGAGACTGAGCTACAACACTCTGTGAAGGTTTAAGGCAATCTCCAGCGTGTCTGCAGAAACAGGTGACTTAATAGTTGTCCTTTCTAATTTCTTTAGCTGCTTAAAGAAGATGACCTAGGTGATTATCCATCGGAAGCAGGACACGGTACCGCTGAGGTTCGTCGACGAGGCTCAAGAGATGAGGAACGCACACGCAATCGTATGTAAAATATGATTTACAAAAACCTAAATGCATCATCGTATAGGAGCTAGGGGCCTGCAATTGTGCTGTATATTTAAAGTGGATTTTTGACTCCAAAAATATTTAGGATTTCTGCTATGCATAGTAAAGCATTCTCATTCATATCTGGAAATTTCTTGTATCTCTACCTGTTTTAAGTTGTTTCTGACCTTTTTCTAACAGCTCCTGCCTCTACAGCTACCCACATTGGTTTTCACCCTTTAGCCACTGTGCACATGGATATGGCTCGCAGCCCTTTTACTTTTGCTTCCAACTTGCATCCTCCTTCCATGGTTCACAGCTCTCTGTGGCTCCTTGCAGCCCTGAGTCTCCTCTCTCCTCTCACAGGATTCCCAGAGATCCTTTTGAAACATAAGCCAGTTCCCGCATTTGCGTGCCCTTGCCACGAGATTCTCCCCTCCCACTGGTGTCCAGGCAGCACTCATTACAGCAGAGGACAAGGCCGGAGGATTTGGTTCCCTACCTCCCTGATCTCATCTTCCTCTTCCTGCCCAGCCAGCCATGCTAGACCCTCGCTGACCCCTGAGGCTAGTATGGGCGTGTTCTCATGTCTGCTTCTCTGCTAGGAACATTTTCTCCAGAGACATTTGGATGGGTTCCTCTTCCTTCAAGTCTATGCTCAAAGGCCTTTCGATGACTATTACATAGAGCCAGTGATTTCCTCAGCTTCCTTATTCTCTATCCTCTAGCATGCAGAATCCTTGAGAGCCGGAACTATGTCAACTTTGTTTTGTTCCCAACTCAAAACAGTGCCTATAGCAAAATAATATATTTTGATGCAACAAATGAAATTGCTTGTAACTACCATGGCTCCAATAACCAATTCAATCTGTGCCAAGTCTCAACTCAGGTGTAAAGATGAAGTAGAGCTATTATTCTCTTTCCAGGCATTCCTGGGTCTATTTGAAAGGTAGAGTCTAGAGAATTTTCTGGCAGGTTTAGTAAAGGATATGATAAGGGGGAAAATCCTAAAAACTGTCAATAAGATTGTCAAGTGTGTGAAGTAAGTCATGCTCTCTGAAATGAGCACTCAGGTATCAGGAGGTTGAGTTATAGATGTGCGTTAGACATTGAGAAAAGGATAGGCCAAAACTGCCTGTACAGTGTCTGATACCCTAATTAATCGGCATGTACTTTAGTCGGTTTCTTTGAGGTTGTGGAGATTATTTTACTGATGAATGAGTGTACAGGAAAGTAAACCAAGCCACTGAGACCGTGGTCCTAATCTCACCGTTTTATCAACACCCACCCCTCTCAAGGGAAGAATGGGGTTTCACCAGGAACCTGGCTGTTCATGTAAGGTTAGCCCAGAAGGAGAAATGAGCTGTAGCAGGATGTTGTCAGTAATAGTTGAATTACTAGTAGTTATGTGTGTACAGTGAGTCAAAGGCACATGGTGTAGGATGATGCTGGAGTCCTCCTCCTTTACATGTAAACAAGCAATGGGTCCAGCATGATTGGCTCAATCTTCACCCAGTTCCTGATCACCCCTGCTACTAGTACCTCTTCCATCTGTCACTGGGATTCTACAGCTGCCTCCTGCTAATGGGTAGACCAGTTTCCCTTCTCCAGCAGGAAGCCTGCACTTGCAGTATGTACCTTGCTTCCCATAAGCCCAGTTCTGCAGCTCTGTGATCTCTGCAGGCTTCCACACTTAGTTTAGTTAAGCTATCACTTATCCAGCCCATCCACTCATCACCTTGTTCAGTGTACTTCGAGCACCTTGATTAGAGCTGGATGTTCCTGCCTCCCCCTGGATACACACACGGTTCACCTTCCCTCCTTATGGCATCACCACCATTCCCTGTAAACTCATTTTCCTGCCTTCTCCTCCCCAATCATTTATTTTCTTTCTGAATACTCAGTTTTACTTCCTGCTGCTTTATCATTTGCTAGTGTATGGTTTATCACTTGCTTGAGAAACACCAAAAAATTTTGTCATGAAAGTGCTAAATAAGTATTTGAAATGGAATTACAAGTTTTTCAGGATAAAAATTATTTCTCCGTTTTATAAAACTTGACCAATGCTGTATAACTAGTAAGTACCAGGATGTAGATTCAAATCTATTTTCATGATTTCAGAGTCTTGCTCTTTTCACTAGAAGAAGCTGCCCAATCCCAGACGTTAGCCCAGTCACCCTGACTTGATCTCACTAGTCTGCAGCCAAGATAGCTTTCCCAGGACACAAACAGCTAGTTATTATGCATTTTGACAGACAAGGCTGAGTGATTTCGCATAATGTGTGATAAGGATGGTGGCCCAAAATGGAGATCCACTCAAGACTCCCCCCGCCGGGGTAGCATCCCACAGTGATAATGGTACAGAATGAGGGCCCCTGGATGGTCTGTCTGCATGGGATGGGGCCTGTGGGGTGGGAAATCTGCTTGGCTAGAGACTGGGACGTCGCCAACCCTGGCAGGAAGGTCTGCTCCGGCGCCCAGACTGAATTACTGTAATGGCGACCGTAGGCTCCTGGAGGAAGCTATGCCTTTACAGCCCCCATGATGCCTGGTCCACAGTGGGGGTATCAGAGACCACTGAAAGAACTACATTTGTGCTTACTGCTTGCTACAGTGGTCTGAAAAATGCACCTTAATGACTTTCGTAGTGGCCACCTGCCAAGTGATAGTTGAGACATGTGACTCCGTATTCTTGGCTAGGAAAGGGGAAAAAATCCTCACCCTGGTAAACTATAGGTCACACTTAACTGGCTAACAAAATTACCCTGGAGGCCTTAGTTCTCAGAGAGGCACATTCCTCCTCTTCAGCACCAGTCCTGCAACACTGCTACTGCCCCACCCCACCACTTACATGTGGCGGTGTCTTTCTCCTCCTGTAGCTTAAGAACTGCATCCTGCTGGGCTGTATTTTTGATCCCTAAAGGAGCCCTGGGGATGGCTTTGACTGGAGCCGGGGGCCCCATGGGATTTTACACACCACTTACTCATACATTCGTGCATGCATTCATGAAAAGCATGCTGAGTAGCCACTACTTAGTGAAGTATTAGATACAGAGAGGACATGACAATGACAACAGGACCAAGTGGCCTCACTGGCATCTTGGACCTCAGTTACACTCCTGCCAAGGGGAAACAGAAATGTGCATCTTGTCCTCTGAATTCCTGCAGTGACCGGAGGACTTGCTTTCAGTGCAACTGCTACATCACGTGTTTTTCTTACCTCTGTGACCCTCAGCTAACATAAAGAAGAAAAAGAAGGAAAACTGATGCCTCAACCCTAAAGCTAGGAAGTAAATCAACAGCGCAGTGATGGGAAGAGCTGCACAGAGGGCAGAGAGCATGAGTAACAGTCCTGGATTGGACTCACCACAGAGTGGAAAAGCTGTGATGGTTCCTGATGTCATTGAACTTCTCCAAAATGAGTTGGTGAGTTGGACTAGTAAAGGGGGGTATAGTTTACTCTGAAAATCTAAGTTCCTGTAAGTACCCGCTGCACTTGGCATGATTTTAAGAAATCAGTGAGAGTGCGGTCCTGATCCAATACGCATTCATTGCAATTGACTGAAAGCTAACATCTCCTCAACTGAGCTCTTAGAGGGCAGCTATTCTTCGGCTGGTTAGCATAATCCAACACAAGGGCATTACTTTGTCAAGTTTCACAAAATATCTAATTCGTAAGAGGGGGCTTGGAAGCTGACCTTTCCTCACCTTCACAGAACGAATGGCTACCGCGTGTTCTAAAGCTCAGTGTTCCCTCCGACCCCTGCGAACCTGATGATTTCGACAGTAACTGCCCCTCACTTGTTCCTTGAACAACTCTAGGCAGCATCATCCCGTCGACTCATTCTCTAAGGCACAGTAAGCGGGGGCCCTGTACCTCTCTTTTCCGGAGCTGGACAGAAGTTGGTATTACAGGCTCGGAGCGCTGGTGGCTTCTGGTGGAGCAGGCAGCTGGAGGAGGGCCGGCCTTGCTGCACACAGTGGACTAAGCGGGTCTGGATGCCTCCTCCGCAGGATACTGTGCACTGTGGGAGAGAGAAGGGCAGCGGAATGCACTGCTGGATGGTGTCTTTCCCGAGGTCCGTGACATCAAATAACAGGCATGGCCTTGACATTCCCAGGGTGTCTGCCTAAGCAGCAGAGTGGCTTGAGCCACGCCCAGGTATGTCACATCCCCGGTAACCTGCGTGAGCCGCTGGACCTGATCAGAAGGGTCTCAGGAAAATGCTATGGAGCCTGAGAGCACGTCTGAGTTCAGTGACTCATAAAGAAGCTCGGATGCAGAAGTAGCCATAAGGAGGCAGAAACAAACCCAGACACATCTAGGGCACGAAGGGCACTATTTAATCTCTGCAGATGCGATGGTGGGTGGGGATAACTTCAAAACCAGGAAAGAAAAGAAATAATAATCTGACATGCTGGAATTGTGCCCAGCCGAATTCTGAGTTAGCAGAGGCGAGTTAATGCTTCCTAAAAATCAGCGATTTCAGTATTCAGTTGAGTAACAAAGACCGATAGACATGTGGGATATCATCAGAGAAAAATGCAGCCTTTCAAATAGATTTTGCCTTAAAAATTTACCATTTCTTTTCCATGTTTGGACCAGCTTCATTATCTGGCCTGGTATGTGGGGAATGGAGAGAGTATGGACAGCTGTAGGGCTGTCCTCAAATCATCATCTGTGCCGGATGAGCTACTAAATGCTCTAGGCTCTCGGGGCACCTGCACTCGCGCACGGACTCAGGGCTGCCTCGTCGCAGCTGTGGTCAGGGGTGAAGTGAACAAGCATGGCTGCGCTCCCAGAGAAGTTTTATTTACAAAAACGGAGGTGGGGGCACTGATTTTGCTTCCTGGCAATTGTTTGCTGACCATGGATCTAAATCTTGTGAGAATCGATTTCCAAATTACAGAAACTCGAAACCTACAACCATGAGGACAGCGCCCAGCCAACTGGAAGGATTCGGTCACGCTGATTCCCTTGGCTTCCTTCCTTCCTGCCAGTCGGTCCTGTGCAGAGCCGTGTACCGCATGTCTGCCTGGGGGGTGGGACTGTCGCAAGGACACCCACAAGATCTTAGGGGCACACACCGATCCTAGCCCTAGGAACCAAAGTTTCACCCAAGTTTTCTTAAACATCTGCTAAGTCAAACAAACAAACAATAACAACAGCAAGAAAAGGAGAGGTCTTGGCTTGAATTGCCTAGTGCTCTGACCCTTATCTGTTTTAGCCCCAGTAGCGGGACAGGTCTACCTACCTTTGCAAGAATTAGGGAGCAGATGCATGCACAGCACTGAGCAAAGTACACAGAAAGGGCTCGGCCAATGTTAGCATCATAGTATGGTCACAAAACACGATTAAGGAGCAAATGAGCAGATTATGAGCAGCAATTCTGGAATGGGGCAGCAGCAACATGAGCAGAATGTGACCGGCCTGCTGCTAAGCGCTTCAGGGTCTTGACCTCTTTTGCTCATGGAAAGCAAAAACCCAAGTCTGCACAACAGTATTCCACGTTTCCAGCATTCCACTTTTCCAGAGGTGAACAAGGTTTATAGAACGGATAACCTGCCTAGGGTCATGCAGGTGCTAGGGTTGGCCAAAGAACACAAACCCTTCTTTACATTTAGACAACTGTCAAAGCACTGAAGGCAATGTTTGTGGGCTGTTTTATTTATTTTTTAATCATTCAGATATCGACCTCCTAGTCTGCAGGGACCCACCTGTTGCCATGGCGATGAATACCATCCTGGTGCCAGGTTGTACACGGGACAAGCCCTGTGGCTGCACGTGTCTTCCAAGGCCAGGTTTGGTTTCTTAATACTGCGGCACCTTCGCTCAGGGAAAGTGATCAGCTTCCCCTGCAATGTCTTCTCACCGCACTTCATCTCTCTCCTCCTCACACCCAAGCCACAGGTCGTGGAACACTAGGAGCCAAGGATGGTGGAGTAAGTGTCCCCAGTAGCGCAGTGGACCACACTGAGCACCAAGTGTGGCCATTTCCTGTCAGCCATGTGCCCTGGGGGATGAATGACGCAGCGGCTATTTCCCTCACACTGCTGTGAGCCAGGACAGCCAAGGGACTTGCCCAGAGTCACAGAGCTCAGCACCGCAAGGCAAGCAGGGGTCAAGAGAAAGCCAAAGTTTCAGGGGAGGAGGCCAGGGTCAGGTAGAGTGTCCACTCAGATGTCCAGGGCTACCCTGAGGACTCTCGGGGTGGGGATCTGAGCCAAGGTAAAAAAAAAAACACAGCATAAAAAAACTCAAGAGATAGCTGGGTGGGAAGAATCACCATTTAACAAATATCTAATGCTGTATTCTGGGTGGAAAAGGAGAACAAGAGGCTGCTGAACTATGAAGCATGTGTTTAGAAGTATTGTAAATAAAACTATGGGAGAATGTGTAGGAACTTGAGAAGAGAGTAAATCAATAAAACTGGTATCATTGTAACTAAGGTACACCATGAAGAGTAACACTGAACTTCATCCCCTACAGGGGCGGCGTGACCATTATCTGATCCACTGTGAAGGTGAGGAAGGTAAGGAGAGCCAGGCCAGTGTGCACATGGATGGCTGACTCCAAACAGGTCCAGGCCACACACGCAGACAGGTTAGGGTGCCTTTAAAGAAAGGACGTGGACCTGTGCATAAAAAGGGCAGCACCTGAAGGGAGCCAAGGGGTGTAGGGGAGCAGCCACCGTCTAGTGCACTTCACCCTCTGATTATTTTCTCTTTCTTGGTGTCCGTCTTCCTTACCAGATTGTAGACACCATAAAAGCAGAGACCTTGCTGGTCACCATGGTCGACTCTGGGCTTAGGTTCTTTCCTTTTTCTCTTCTTATCTGAATACAAGAACATTTCCCAAGCCTCAGATCTAGAAGATGCCTTCCCTCTTTCCTCCCCCATGGATGCCTGAAGCTACAAATCCAGGAACCCCAAGACCCAGCTTCTCTTCCGTCTTCCTTACCGCCACATCCATACAAAGTTCTTACCTGCCTGGGGTGTGCATGCTTTGTACTTCTCCCTGCTCTATGCCGCCGCCTCCTCCACATGCAGAAGGTGTATTTCTAGCCTTTCTCCCACAGCCTGTGACCTGTCTCCAAGAGTTTCCCTGCCACCTTTTCCTCATGTAAGGCGCATCTTCTGTCAGGAACCACCTTTCCCCAACCCCCTTAGGCCTGATACCTGATCTGGTCTCAGGTTCCAGGGAGGGCTTGGCTCTTCTGATGAGGGCCTTTCCCAGGAAAGTGCCAACTTGGCCCACACCACTGTGCATACCTGATGTGTTTCTCTACCTGTGTGCACTGAAGTTTTGTATCCCTTTACCAAGGCACAAGCCTGAGCAGAGTTGCCTGCTGCACAAATCCGGGGCGAAGAACCAGCAATTAGGAAGCAGCTGGTATATGTGTGCAGCAGAAAGGAGCCTGGTGCGTCCGGATGGCGGGAGGTGAGCTGCGTCTTAAACTCCTACCTCGCTCCAGGAAGAGGTGACCCACTGTAGCCGGTTGTTCTTGGGACACCGTCCAAGCACACAGCCCTCCTGTGCCTCGGGTCTGGGGCTGCTGCTGCACCGGCTCTCAGGGAGCACTTCTGTGGCAGAACTCTTGCACAGGACCTCACGCTGCCTCACTCCACGTCCACAGGTCTTGGAACACTTAGAGAGAAGAAATGCTACTTGCATGCTGTTTCAGATGATTTAGATGATTTTCACCTGGTAAATGCTGACAGCAGACTGATGAAATGTGCAGAGCTCTTTTTAAACTTTTTTTTTTTTTAACTGTAATGTTCTCTGAAGCAGGAGAAATCTATCTAGAGGCTCGGGAAAGACTGCAGCCCATCATGATTAGCCATATGGCCAGAGGCTGCAGTGTCACCCATGTCTGGAGAAGAGCTGTGGATGTCATGAGACAGATGGACACTCAGTGCACATGGGGACAATTTGGAAAACGGGATATGGCCTCGGCCTGGGTAAAAATGGTGTGCCCACCTCGGCCACAGGGTAGCATGGACCTGGGGTAACGAAGATTTCTCTCATCTCAGCAGGGAGAATGCAAGCAGGACAGGGACCTGTGGAGCAGCCATGGTGCTGGACAGCTGGGCCCGGAAACTGCTAACATCTTCTCTCGCTGAGCCCTGCGGGGTCTACTGAGGAGAGCACAGACCAAATGTCTGTAAGGTAACTTATGGGGCGGACAGTTCGCTCGCTCTCTTTGGCCTTTAGTAGAAGTCTGTGAAATGCATACAGCAGCAAAGAACCTCTCTGCTTACAGAAGCCAGGTTACAACCTTGCCAAGGTCACAGCAGAGATAGGCTCCGGGCTTGGGTTTGTCCTCCTGGGTCGTGACACCACTGTAGCCTTTCCAGGAAGGACCATGACTGAGGAGGCCTCTCCTCAACACAGCTAGGGCAGGTTCTCAACTTGCTCTGGGGAGCCAATGTGAATTCCCACTCAAACGGGAGGTGAGGTGAGAATCAGCACGTCCGAGCAGCAGAGTGCATGGGGTGCTGTATCCCACGATCCTCTAACCCTCACAAGATCGCTGCTATGGCCCCACCTCACGGGACAGGCATCAGGGAACCGACGCCTCGACAGGGATGGATCACTCAGCCAAGGAACCAAGTTAAGCCAACAGCTCACTCTGCTACCAGACCCGGGAAATGGATTGCTGCACCTGTCATCACGACGTGAATGAAATTCCCACTTCACATTTGCAATTTTTTTCAGGATAGCGAAATTTTTAAATCCATTCTAGAAGGAATCAATATGTTTTTGCAACCTGTCTCTAAAGGAAGACCAGGTTGTTGAAACCTTCTCAGGAATTTCTTTCATATTAGGTCAGGACAAATTCTCAAAAAGACATCTTTGCTTTAAAAAAAAAAACCCACTCAAAATAGTTCCACGTGAAATTTGAGGTGAACACCATGAACTAGAGCTCTTTCCACAAGATTCATTTCAAAGTCGTCAGTCTTCATTTCTTTTCATCCATGACCACCATACATATTTGGCTCAGTCCTTTGAGTCACCCCTTGTAAATTATAATTCCCAACCGCAAAATGGAAAAAAGAACGGACTCAACACTGTATCCTACTTACCCTTCCCCTCTGCTATAAGAGAATATATTCTTCATTTGGAAAAAAACCCCAAGCATTCTCAAAGCTATTCTTTCCTACTCCTGGCCCTTAGTCCCCTAACAGGTACAGACTTAACACGGATACAAGCCTTTCTGTGACCTGTGCTGACCCCAAGAAAGTGACATCCTCCAGGATATGATGTACTCTGAAGGAAAGGAGGGCGGACAGAGGAGCAGTGGCTGCTACCTCTGGTCAGCAAAGGCTAGTGCAGGTGTGGTGGTGCTGCAGCTGGGAAAGCCCTGAGCTTTATTCTTTCTTGCAGGAAGCTGTCCTGTGCTTTGTAGGACATTGGTCCCTGCACACGCAGGATTCAGTGGCTCCCATCTCCCTCCATGCTGTGACAAAGTCTTTTAGGGGCAAACTTGCCCCCAGTTGAGAACTACTTTAGAGTGAATTTGTAAGTTGTGAAAAACGAAGGGGGGTGCTTCTGTGCCCCTTCCAACTTTGTTACTACTTTCACTGGCAGTTTCTGATAATAGCAAACTCCAGGCCAGCTCTTCTCTCGCTTAACTCTATTTTGTTCCAGTTGCAGCAAGAGTTATATTTCCTTTCTATGTCTCCTTCTTCATATTTTGCATCTTTTCATTTGCTTTGTAGAACTCAGCAGCCAGGTCTACATACACACAATACCTTTCCAGCTGTACCTATTAGCTTGGCCCAAATGGCTCCCACATGCACCTCGGGATTATGCTCTGGGATATGGGGTCCGAGACTTCAGGTCTCATAAAAACCAAACCAAACACTAGCTAAAATGCTGATCTCTAGGCCCCGTGTTAACTCAGTATGATCCTTGTGAAGACAGGGAGCATTTTTTTTCCTTCGTCTTGCACAAAGGCGGGGTGACGCCCATAGCTTCAAGTCTGTCCCACTTACCTGAGACCAGGGCCCCGGGCTCCATGCTGCTGGGCAGGTGTGGCTGTTGCAGACCTGAACCTGAGTGGGTGTGCTCACGGGACAGAGAGAATGCAGCACTGCCTCCTCTTCCTGGAAGGGCTTCTTCTGCACGCACTGGATCTTCCGGCTCTGCAGGCCCCCAGCACACGGCTTGCTGCAGGCGCTCCATTCACTGGGCATCCAACTTTTAGTGAAAAACAAAACCACTTTCAGGGAGACCAACATCTTGCACTGTCATTTCTACAGCATTACTGTGAATGATGAACCACCTAACGAAAGCCCTTTAAAAACCACTAAGAGCCATCGGTTCTTCTGTCTGTCGCTCTTTTCTAGATTTTGAAGCATACGTTAATGCAGCTCAGCTCTTAGGAAGCACGTTTAATCACCACATGGTTTGAGGAAAAACACATTCCTGCCTCCTGCACAGGAAGAAACACATGCCATTTTAATATCTGAGCAATTAATGCAACCAAATTTACTGGGATCTTAACTGTGTGTCAGGGGCTCTCCTAGGCACTGGGCTGGAAAGATGACTGAGGCAGGGTTCTACCTACAGAGAAATCTACAACACAGCCAAAGGCACATGTAGATCTAACACTTTCTGCTCAGGGCTGGAATCAGAGAACCAGGGCTCGTGGAGGGGATGGGCACAGCGGGGGATGTGGGTATGGAGGGAGAGAGTCCACTGACGCCATCTATGGAGGGGTCTCAATGGTCAGTTTCCTAAATTGCTCTTTGTATGAGTCATGACATTTACCAATGGACTAGACACCTAACATTTCATTATCTATTCAAAGATTAGCAGACCAGTTTTTTTCACAATTATTTGAGACTCTATGGGTATCTGAATGCTCCTCAATGCAAACTATTAATCTTTTCTTTCTTTTTTTTTTTTTTTTT